GTTGCGACAGCGCACGGGACACGGTTGACTTGCCAGCAAGAGAACCCACTAAACCACCTACGATCCTCTCTGGTATTTCTTCGCGCCCTGTCAATCTGTCGGTTGAACCTCACAGGTTGCGCTTTAGAGATTTGGATCACCAGCAGCAGCCAGCAACTTGTTTTCCAGAGTTAAACCGCTTTTTCTTCTAATGGAAGAAGCGTGCTTGTGCTCGAGTCGAGTCGAACTGCAGATCCTGGACGCTAAGTCTACCTTTAGACAAGTACCAGTCGCTGCCGAATTGACCACACCTCCCTACCTGTAAGGGAGCGACCCTATTGTTGGTCCCGCGTTCCTCAAGCCTATCTCTCGATCCTACTAGCATGGTTGCGACACAATACCGGGAACTTTTCCTCCTCCATGTGTCCCATGGGACCTAAAAGCAAATCTGCATCTGAATTGTTCGCCGAATGCAACTGAGAAAAGTTGCAAAAAAAGAGTTGGCCAATTGTGGCCAACAATTGCGTAGGCGGCAGCAACAGTCTCTAGAGGGCCATCCATTTGCGACACTGGCGGCTCAGATGCTTCAGATTTACCTCAACGTTACAGTGAAGGGGTGTAATTATCCTCTTGCGCTTGGGCCCACCGGGGTTCACTCTCTCGAAACTCAAGTCCTCCTTGCTTCTCAAACATCGGATTGTTCAATAATGGGAGGACAGGCAATGTCAGCTTACTCATGGGATGATCTGGGTCTGAAGAAACGACAACAAACCAGCAGATGCGTGGTGATCCAAATGCAGTGGTCAGCCTTGCAGATCTTTCCCTCGACGTTGACGCTGCGGACATCTCTCCCTCTTTCAACCTCGACCTCCGAGTTGAGGCCTTGGCCGTCCTACTGCATAGGAACCTTGAACAGTATGGATACCATTTGCTTCTTCCCATCGCTGAGGGTTCTCCGCGTCCTGGCTCGGACAAGGACAAGCGAATGCGATGCCAAGGGCCGTCAATCCTCTTGAGCCAACCCGGTGGCCAGGAGGCGGCGCCATGAGCGCCTCGCTGGAGCCAAGGTCGTCGTACGAACTTGAAACACCCCGACCAGAAACCTAGCTCAACTTTGGACGCTCGGTCGACAAGGGCTTCCCTGGCGCCCGTCGAGCCGGCCCCTCCCATCCATGCGCCCAGCAATACCTAGCAATAACATAGCACACGTACCTTGGCCATGCTCCCCAGCCCCGATCAATGGACCACCGGGTCAGTTCGAAAGGTTCAAATTGATTCCGAGCCACTCGACTCGGAACTGCAGCTTCTGGAACGCGTCGAAGCGAAATTTTGAGACTAACATGCGTTCTATGGAGGTTCGAAAGCGCTTCTGGCCGATCTAATAGTACAGATTCCCAGAATACATCATCTGGTTTCATTCAGAGACCAACTCAAAAGTTATGGAAGTCTACACAGTCATCATCGTCATGAATCAGAAGGACCCGGCTCTATTGGTGCCACGATTTACTCGTACAAGAATTCCCCGTATTACACCTTTTTTCTTTCTTTCTCGAGAGATACAAGAGACCTTTGTCAATCGCGCAGGTAATCGTTCAGTGGTGATGTCCAAACTGGGTAAGAAGCGGCAGGAGCATGCCAGCAACTGTCGCAAAGGTATCACGCATCTGTGGCCGCTGCTGGCCCCTTTGTACGCCATTCCCGTCAGAATAGCCGTTCATGCCGCCGTGTTCGTGCTTGGGAGAACTGCCGTCTTCCTGCATCGCATGCATCGCAACAAACCTGACAGGCCGTCAGTAGCTATTCACGCTTCAACCATGGGCTGTCGTCCAAACTTACAGAAATGTTCCTGCGGAGAAGAGAAGAAGCATACCCGTCCACCACTGACCAGATTCGCCCTCAAAATTCCCACCGCCCAAGATTCGAATGATGGCCCAGGTACTAAGAGCCCCGAATGGGGCAGCGAGGCTAAAGACGATGAGGTGTCCTCGCGCCGTTCGTTTGGAAAGCCCTTGCTTCAGAAGCACCGATGTCAGACCAAAAGCCGCTGGTGCCTTGTGAACCATGATGGCGACGAATATTATGAGTCCCAACTTGGTGTTCGATGTAGATGTGGACGCGCCCATTGCGATGCCGTCCGCTGCGGCGTGGATCACCAGACCGATGGTGGTGGCCAGGCTCCGGGACTGCTTTGGTGGAGGCGCAAGAGGCCCGAGGAAGCCTTCCGTTTCCTCGTCGCCGACGCTTGATGAACCACCAAGGTTATCCAAGCTGACGTGGCGCATCTGCGGCTCTGATCCGCTGCCGCCTGCTGCGTGGCGGGGCAGCCTGTCGATGAGGTACATGAGGACGAAGCCGAGGATCATGGACAGGCCGATGTAGAAGGTCGGTACCTCGTTCTCGTGCTTCGGCTCATCGTGATGAGGTTCGGGGCCGGGGGCGGTTGCCGGGGGTTGCTCGTGGCCATGTTCGTCCTGCTCCTCCCGACTGTGCAGCTTTGCAGTGTATTCCACATCACGGCCAATGGCATGAAACTCTTCCTCAACAGTCCGCGCAGATTTGGCAGTATCCGCCAACTGAGGCACATCTCCTGCGTCTGTCACCCACCGAATAGCCGGCCTCCCTTGCTTTCCAGCTGTTTCCGCCAAGCTCCTCTTGCTGTGCGAGTGCCCGCCGGTGGTCGTGACGGCTTCGATGCCTTCAGGTATAATAACAATCATAGATGTCCCGACCAAAATACCGACGCCCACGCTTGATATCAACCGGAGTTGCGACTGTGTGAGGGTTATCGCGAGTGGTAGTGAGCCGGCGAAGAAGGATCTGGGAAATCGCGGGATACGTCGTCAGTTTTACGGAGGGTTCGGAAGGCTGGGGGGTAAGCATCGCCGTGTGCAACCTACGCCAAGGCCATGACCGTCTATCGCGAAGATGATTTGTTAGCTCTCCATTGTGCATAGCCTTTGAAGTGTACCGCCTGGCTGGGAGCTGAAGCTACCCAACGACAAAGCAGGCTAGGTCAGTGTAGGAGAATAAGGGTACGTACGCTCAGCAAGAGCAGCAACAGTAGTCCTCCCATGCTCGGATAGAGAGCGACGATCCGACTGCGATTCGGTGTGTGCGTAAATTGGAGAGGGACGGTTGAGAGGGGACAGCAAGAAGAGAGAATGGAAGAGGGTTGGTCGAGGCTTTGTTGGATCACGCCAGCATGTCTGAAGTTCTTCAATTGTCGACAGCAGCTCTGGCGTGGTTGGCTGAGGTGGAAAATAGGCAGATGGCTAAAAAGACTGGGCTGCTCGAACTTCTGCCCTCGACTCTTCTTTTTTTTCCCTTTCTCTCTCTTCAGGTTAATTTGAGAGCTAGGAGTGCACAGGGAGAAATATCGTCGAGGTTGGGGAGCTGAGCTGGCTCCCAATGGAAGGCGCACCTACCGGGACAGCGGGCGCAACATCATTGGTCGCTAAACATTTCCATTGGCATTTCCAAGGTTCCTTGCTTGCTCGCTTTCTGTGACCCCCCTTGATGCCCTTGAACCTCTCCTCTAGCCTCTAGGCTGTAGGCTCCCCCCCCTCCCTTCCAGGCCTTGTCACCCCATGTCGTAATCCTGTGGGTCCTTCCCGTTGCTGCTTCCTGCTTCCTGCTGCTTGCTGCTTGCTCCTTCTGCGGCTGCTGCGAGGATAGACCAGAGCTAAGACATTTTAGGTACTAGCGCCCCTCGAACCGATTGATCCAAGAGGGCTTGGCTGTCGTGAGCCATTCAATCCAACCGCAGCGGGGCTCAATTAACTTACAGGCGCGTCTCGTCGCGACACTGCTTTAGACTGCGCGTTCACCCCGAGGCTGATTTCGTCGCAAAAAAAAGAAGCTCTCAATCGACCTTCGACGTCAACCTCGACGAGCAAACGGAACCCCTGAACGCCATTTTCTGACACGCGAGACGACGAGTTCTCCATTGCAATACTCCCTTTTTTCGCACAAGAGCGCCGCAGTATACTCACAACATCGTCTCTTCTACCATACCTATATCGATACCATGGCTGAGACTGACGAGTGTATGAATCTCAACTTCCTCATACCCTATCGTCGCAACAATCGCTGATATACTGGATAGGGTCGGCCAACGCCACCGAATCGCTGAACATCAGCTTGATCGCGCCTGCTACCGGGGCTACAAAGACGATTGCCACATTCAATCCCAAATTTACGTACTCCATCTTCGGCGATGATGAGCGCATCTTCGGTTACAAGGATCTCAAGATCAACCTACGCTATCGCACGTTTGACATGCGCCCCAATGTTCAGATATCCTACGGCAAGAAGTTCCAGTCCGTTGGAGAGACCGAGGCGGCGGACGTCGATGCGACTCTGAAAGAGCACCTGCCGTTGGGTAAGTTATTCTGCTCCGTCGCGAAGAAATCATTTCGCTAATCGCGATTTTATCGCAGTTGCCTTCCAGCCCGCACGCGAATTCAATACAAGCTCTCAGAGCCAACCCGCCGACTGGACCCCTCCCGGCAGCCTGCATTCGAGCTTCGATGGCCCTGATGGAACGTACGAGGTGTGGAAGGGGAGCCTCGCGGACCCTGCTGTTCGTCAGATCGTCACTCGAGTCGAGATTATGGTTCCGATGTTCATTGAAGGTGGCTCGTACGTCTCCCGCGATCCTGAAAATGAGGAGGACCCGTGGAAGGTCCTCGAGGATGCCAACCGCTGGACCACATTCTTCCTCTACCGCAAGCAAACATCCCCGGAAACCAGCGACAAGCCTTCCTACACCTTTGTCGGTTACTCCACTGTCTACAAGTTCTTTTGCTTCCGGCCGCCGACGCCGCCGTCATCCGAGTGGGATCTGCCAAAGGAGGAGTTCAACCTGTTGGAGGAGCTGCCCTGCCGATCTCGTCTGTCACAGTTCCTGATCTTGCCGCCTTTCCAGGGCAAGGGCATCGGTGCCCGCCTCTACAAGACCATATTCGAGCACTACTACAACAACCCGCAGACCCTGGAGCTGACTGTGGAGGATCCCAACGAGGCTTTCGATGACATGCGCGACTTGGCTGATATCACCTTCCTCCGGGCACTGCCAGAGTTCAGCGAGGTGAAGATCAACACGGGCATTGCTATCCCTAGCCCCCCCAGTGGCACCGTACCCAAGGACTTAGTGGATCAAGAACTTCTAAGAACCCTCCGTCAGAAGACCAAGATTGTAGAGCGTCAGTTCAAGCGCTTGATTGAGATTCAGACAATGTCACAGCTTCCCGAGTCTGTCCGGGTAGGATTCGGCGACGAGAAGAAGCCGACACCTACCAAGCAGGACAAGCACCAGTACCGTCTGTGGCAGCTGTTTGTGAAGCAGCGCCTGTACCGACAGAACGCCGATGTGCTCGGTCAACTGGACCAGTCTGAGCGGTCAGAGAAGCTCAACGAGGCCTTGGTCAGCGTCGAGCTCGAGTACGCCAGAATTCTCGACTGGCACGCTCGCTGGGTCAAGAACATGGCTGCTTCCTCTGCCGAGGACTCGGGCAGCAAGCGCAAATCTGTGGACGACAGCGAAGAACAGGGTGCGGCCAAGAAGGTCAGAGTTGAGAGCGCTTAGCGTGCTGCATTTCTCTCGCTGAGGCCCAAGAGCACGTGAGGATGGACCGTTTGGGATATGGAGTTCATGGGTGGTCTTGGAGTGTATTTTTCCTCTCTTTGTAATTCTACGCGCTGGCTACGGCGGCTATGGGCCCGGTTGATACCACATAAGAAGGGCCACGACTAGCTTCACAAGACAATGGAACGTGATTGGCAATGCCTTGCTTTTAATATCTGTCTAACTCTAGAACTTTTGAAAAAATGCACATTCCTAAACGCCGTCCTAATCTCGCAAATAGTAAAATGACAATGATGAATCCTGTCCCAAACGCCATGTTATCACGAAATCACCAATACACGTAAGACTTTTCTCTTCCTGGTACCTCCTTTTCGTTTTTTATGTTTCCCTTCACGAATTGACCTCGGCGAACCAGGTCCTCAACAACCCGGCCAACGCGCCGGGCAGGTCCTCGAGGTTGTGCACAATTAAGTAGTACTGGAAGGGGAAGGTATCGAGATACCTTTCAATCACGACGCGGCTACCGCCGTGCTCGTCCTTGACGAACTTCGCCTCCTTGAGATCCAGCACGCTGTCGCCCTTCTTGTTGCCCGTGTCGTCCATGACGATGAAGACGACCATGATGCGCTCCTCCATGGCCTCGCGGAGCAGGCGGCGGATGGGCTCGTGCTGGTTCGACGGCGTCAGGCCGTCGGACAGGATGAGCGCCAGCTGCCAGAGGTCCTCTGCGCCGCCGCCGCGCGACGGGTTCTGCAGGCGCGCGGCGCGGAAGTGGTCGATTGTGCGGCGGACCAGGAGGGCGATGTCGGTGCGGTCCTGCTTGAAGTGGAAGTGCTGCAGGACTTTTGCGCCGGCGTCGTGGGAGGCGAAGGGAGAGGCGAAGTCGTGCGCGAGGAAGGTGTCTGCGCCGAAGCCGAGGACGCCGACTTGGCCGACCTCGAGCATCGTCAGGGCGCGGGAGACCATGACGAGGGACTCGAGGGCGAGGTTTCCGGAGGAAGACTCGCCCATGCTGCGGGAGTCGTCGACGGCGAGGAGGATCTGGTAGGAGCGTTTTGTGGGCACGGCGCGGCGCATCCAGATCTTGTCGCGCTTGTAGGAGGAGGCGATGTAGGGGATGATCTTTTTGATGTTGAGGCGTTTGCCGGTGCGGTAGGAGCCCGAAAGCTTGGTGGATTGGGACGGGGTGAGAATGAGTCGGAGCTGGGAGGTGAGGGAGAGGGAGAGCGGGTGGGTTTTGGTCTGGAAGGTCGTCCAGGACTGGATGGCTTCGGAGAAGTCGCCGAGGGGTAAGGTGTTGTCGTCCTCGCTGATGTGCGTCGTCCAGAGTTGCGTCGACGTCTCTTCGATGGCTTGCTCTTCCTCCTCGTCACCGTCTCTCTGGACCTCGTCTTCCTCGGGTGACGGCTCGCGGTCAAAGTTGCCCTGTCGTGTCTTGACGCCTGAACGGCCGTCATCCTTGTCGGCGCCGCCATCTTTGTCCTGCGCCTTGGGAGCCTCATCCGCCTCGGTATCCATCTTGTCAGCGGCGTCCTGCTCCATCTCAACGTCCTGGTCCTCGGGCATTACGCGACTCTGCGGGTCCTCCTTCTCCTCGTCAATGGCCATGGCCTCGTCAATCGGCTGCACCTGGTCCTCAGATGCGGATCCCATGGCCTGCGCGTCGACGGCGGTCTCGTCATCTTCGAGGTGCTGGAACTCCCGAGCGCCAAGGTCCGCGCTGGTATCCTGCGGCTGCTTCTGCTCACCGTCCTCTTTGCCGTCCTGCTTCTCGGGATCCTTGATGTCGTTCTGCTGGCGATGCCAACGCTCCAGGGCGTCGCCGAGCTTCTTGAAGGGGTCCTGGCGGCTCTTCTCCTCGGCCGAGTCGTCCTGGTCCTGGTCGGTCGGCTGCGCCTGGTCGTCGGACCGAGAGAGTTGACCCTTCTTTCCGGCGCTCGTCTGCTGCTCCGCGGAACCCTCGCCCGCGTCGCCGTCGTCTCGCTGGGCGGCGTTGTTGTTGAAGTCGTTTTCGACGTCCATCTGGTCAACGTCTTGGTCTTGGCCGCCACCCTTGACGTCGCTCGGCGCAGCGTTGGCGTCGGCATTGGCGTTGTCCTTGGGCGGTTCCGCGAGGGCATCGGGCTGCTCTTGCTCGGCGGTCTCTTCCTCCTCTTCCTCCGCCTTGGGCTCCATTTCGAGCTCGGGTTCGCCCGCGAGATCTTCCTCGGGCGCTTCCTCCTCCTTGCCGTCCTCATCTTCCTCCTCTGGCCCCTTCTCATCGGGTCGCTGGGTATCCTCTTCTCCGTCCTCAATTTCGGATTCATGCTGCTCCTTAGCATCTTCCTTTTCGACGTCGGACAACTTGTCAAGCTCGTCCTCCTCGGAGCCGGCATCTTCGCCTTCTTCCTCAAAGTCAAAGTCCATCTCCTCAGGCATCTCAAGAGCATCGTTCTCTTCGACGTTTTGGTCTTGCTTAACCTGATCGTCTTCAAACTTGGCGTCCTCTTGCTCCGGACCAGGCTCTTCGTCCTCCGCCTCCTCCTCATCGTCCTGGTCCATCTTGTTGTCATCCTCAGCGTCATGCTCGTCAGCATTGGCGTCAGCATCGGCGGCCATCTGCTCGTCCTTCTTCTGACCCTTGGCCTTCTCGCCCTGCTGGTCTTTCTCTGCTTCTTCTTCATTGTCTCCATCCCACATCTTTTCGTCGACGGCAGTGGGGTCAAAGTCATCAACATCGCCAACCTCTTCCTCCATCTCATCCTTTTCACCATCTTCGCCTTCTCCGTCGGACTTGTCTTCCTCATCATCTCCATTAACACTGCCCATTTCTCCTTCCATCTCCTCGTCCGCCATGTCGACTGCATCCTTTTCGTCCTCCATCTCTCCATCCTTCTCCTTGTTGGGTTCTTGAGCAAGTTCGGTGAGATCCTCATCAGGTTGAATGTCTTTGCTAATGTCCTCTGCGCCGTCTCCGTCTCCGAGACCCGTTCCGGACTCCATCTTTCCAGAGTCCCCAGACTGCTCGTCTGACTTTTCTTGAGGGGAGCAGAAGCCCTTGGCGGCAAGCTGAGTAAAAGTCTGCGCAAGTTTAAACGTCATGTAGCCAGTCGCCGCTTGCAGGTTTTGAAGCTGAGACAGGCTCTGGCGACAGGTGAGAGCGTACTGCTGAAGAATCGGGAGTACGATGGAGAAGAGTGATGAGGCAACTGCACCCATCTGATCCTTGTCCAAGTCGACAACCTCCAAGGCGGAAAAGCAGTCCTCGACCTTGCCTACGATTGTGTTGATGTGGAGTGCGCTCAGTCCGGAGCTGCGGACGGTGGATGTCTTTGCCAACCAGCCTGCATCGTCGGACGAGCTGGGCAGATCAGCCATGGCCTTCTTGTATCCTTGAACCGCGACCAGAACGGCATCACACAGACTGGAGATTGCATGCTTGAATTTCTGTGCGGTGGCATCGAGGGCCGGCAATTGGCGAGCATGGCCATTTGGAACGTGAATCCATCCCCTGACCTGCTCCAAGATGAAGTCAAGATCGCGGCGACTAGTAGGAAGCTCTCCGTATAAGGTTTCCGCCACGGAAAAATATCTTTTCTGCAAATCTGCGTGCGATTCGTTGGTGAACTTGTTGTGCTTTGAAGCAGATGTAGACCAGCTCTCCGACAGGGTCTCGAACTCCTGCAGCGCAGTACGCAGGATGTTTGAAATGGGTTGGTTGTCGACCAATGCCAATTTGCCGTGGATGTCCACGATCTTGATAGCAAAGTCCAGGATTGGCTTCATCCAGCTCGTAGAGAGGCCTGCGGGCATGCGGTCGATATCGTGCCTGATCGTTGTGCCCTTCAAGCTTTCAACGGTGGCAATAGCGCGGTCGAGTGAGGCAACTGCGCTACGAGCAGAGGACAGAGAGCTGTGCTGGCCTAGTAACACGGCCATCATACCCTCCATGAAACCGGTGCTTCGTTGCATCTCGGCACCGGTCAGATCGCCCGAGTACTCGTGGATCGAGGCTCTGACCTTGGGTGCGATGTCGACGACCTTGTGAAAGTAGTACTCGGCCGTGTCGTCAGTGCTGCCCTCCCGCACAGCAGAGGCGGGTGAGCCAGCCAGAACGACAGCAGCGGACTCCTGTCGGGCCAACTCGTCGGTTCCGAGGTTGTATCGGAAGCCCATCTGCCTCATCATCTTGAGCACGTCGGCAAAGAGGTTGCGCTTGCGTGTCTTGAGGTGCTTGACCTGGTCCTTGGTCTCATCGGTCAAGGTGCTGGGCGTCTCCTTTCGCAGCTCAGCGATGGAGGTGTTAAGCTCCTTAACGTACGAGATGATCTCCTGGGTGGCGTCGAGGGGGCTCTGGTTCGCCTGGGCAGAAACGTCGGCCATGATGGACAATGTCTTTGAGGCGTTCGAGAGACGCTTGTGTTGAGCGAGCCAGCCTGGCAAGCCTTGATCGCAGGTCTTAATAGCTGCGGGATCGACCTTGATGTCAATCACGTCCGCGGCCACTACGTCCTGGGAAATGGGAATGTCCTCGTCGGGGATGCCTTGGTCCAGGATTGGCTTCATCGGCTGTCCGAGAAGAGTGCGGAATTTGCGAACAAGACGGAAGAGCTTCAAGTGAGACTTGCGTGCGCTCTCACGTAGGGCGTTGATGTTCGTGTCCTTCCAGCTGGCCAATAGCACGACCTCCTTCATGGTCTTCTCAAACGGCGCCCGCCCCTTCACAATCGTTTGGTGAACGATCTTCTCAAAGCGGGAGTAAAAGCCAATGAAGTTGATAGCCGCGTCAGAGACCACTGACAAGGAAGGGTAGTCAACAGTGAGCAGCTCAAGGTGCTTTTGCAGCTGTCTCAGGAGTCTAAGGCGGGCAGAGAACTGGCCAATGATTGCGGTTGAGAAGTACGTCTCGAGCTCTCTGACGAGATTGACCGCGTAGTCCTTGAGCTCGGGGGAGTCGACAAGAGACAGAGGCGTGGCAATGAGGACCTGGTAGGCGACGAAGAACCACGAGTCGGCGTCTGCTGTGCACTTCTGGGCTTCCATATCGAAGAGCTTCGCCCAGGTCGAAAGCTCCAGGCGTCTCCAGCTGATGATGGTATCCGTGAGCGATGTGTAGAGAGCAGGGGCTCCGTAGATGGCGGGAGCGTAGCCTCCGTGCTGCCACTCGTAGACGATGCCGTGCAGGTGCTCCAGCTTGGGGAGAATCTTTGCCAGGGGCTCCGAGTGGGTAAGCTGGAGGAGCTGGTCGCAAGCTGCGCGCACATCCGCCAAAGGCTGCATGTGACCGATCTCATCGACTTGTTGGAGATCCCGGAAGCGGGCCTCTACCTTGTCGACGAGCGCAATCAGGCGACGAACCTCGGGCAGGTTGGCGTGGGTGTAAAAGTTGTACGTAGCGCTCACGCCGTTCGCGGTGAGCGTGGTCATTTGCTCGTCAATGGACCAGAGAGTCAGGGGGAGGAGACGACGCGTCATGTTCGGCAGGACAGCGTACTTGTCTTTGTTTTCCGCCGCAAAGCTGTTCCCGACCTTCTTGCAGACGTTCGTCAGTGCTTCCGAAGGGGTGGCTTGCTCCAGGAAGACCTTGCGATGAGATTCTGCCAGACGGACTGACACATCGCGAACCTTCTGGTGGCCAATGGCGGGCTTCTCTTTTTCTTCTTCCTGGTCATACGTGGGGAAGAGCTCGTTGAACTCTTCCTCGTCAACCTCCTCCTCGTCCTCCCAGCTTCCCTTGTGTCGGTAAAGGTTTGTTCTGGCCTCCTCGGCTTTGCGGTCTTCTTCGAGTTTCTTGACCCATTCTTGGTAGAACCTGTGGATGCATTCAAAGAGGGCTTCGCGGATACCACCGCTCAACTTAGACAAGCCCTCGACTGAGGCGATCAGACCAGTGTAGTCGAGGAACTCCAAGCTCTTGTTCGGCATCTTTTTGAGCCCGTGGTGGTACGGCAGGCCGCCAGTGAAAGGCGTGAGGCACATGAGGTTTTCCTCCGGGCTCAAATATCCCTTTTGCTCCCTCAAGGTGATAAGTCCTGTACTCAACGAAAGACCAACCTGGATACAGCCGAGAAGATTGACGAGGGGACGAGTCATATCTTGGTAGGCATGGAATCGATTGGCAAGGCGGTCAATCATCAGAGCTAGGTTCTGCTTAAGGAGACCAATCTCCGGCGCCGGTTCATAGCCAGGTGGCAAGTAGACGAATTTGGTGTGGGTGTTGTAGAGATCTTGGTCTCTAACCATTTTCAGGACGTTGTTGAAGTCTGTCTGAACATAGTTGAGTTCTGATCGAACCGGTCGGTACAACAGCTGCGCCGGTGCTGGCGCAGGTCCCAGTGCGGTCACTTCCTCTTCCGCAAGCTGGATGCGAAGAGAGGTCTGCTGTCCAGTGAATTGGGTTTCAAAGTCCAACAAAGATGAGAGCTTATGCTGCAGCTGGTTGGTCAACTCATCATGGACGTCTTTTTCGAATTGCGGCCGGAGCTGCGGGTCGAAAGATTTGTCGGGCACGTAGAGTCTGATGGCGCCGTTGGCAAATTCGGACCATGCCATGGCAGTAAACGCGGGCATCATGGAGGCCTCATCGGCCTCCGTCTCATCGGGGTTTTCAAACAACCTGTCAGATGCGACGACGTAAAGCATCGCTGTACTGAAGTGGTCCTCGACAAGCCGCGGCAGATGTTGCGGCCAGTCGCTGCACTGAAGCGCCTTCCCAAACCCAAGACCTAGGACTTTTCCCACAGTGCCCAAAGTGTCGTCTTGTTTGTTGTCCTCGAACAGTTGGTTGATTCTGTTGTATAGCGTCTCACAGTGGACGTCTCCTTCATCGCTATAAAGGCTGAAAACATCTGCGAGAAGTGACTTGATTACTCTGTTGAGAGCAACGATTTGATTCTTCTGCAGCACCGGAGCCAAGGCGGCCACGGACCGGCCCAAGGCAGGGAGCTCGGTCTCCAAAAGACCCAAGGAACGCAGACTAGTTGATTGAATCGAGTTGAGTCTTGACAAGAGCGACGTTGCGAGTCTGCCATTCCACACATGAGTGCCCGGGTCTTGGGACGCGAGCTGGCCAATTGTAAGTGAATGCGCTTCTCTAGACTGGAAGCTGCCTAGGCGGATCTGGCCGATGGTATTCTGATTCGACAAGACCGTAAGTTCAGCGTCGTTGGCGCCGTATGGCACAGCTTCCAGGTATTGGCCGGCGTGAGATTTCAAGAGGGAAGCCTGGCGGAGGGTTTCGAACTCTGCCGCGAAGAATGGTTTCACTTCACTGGTCTCGGAGCCAACCTTGGTTTCCAAAAGTTCAATCTCCTTGGAGAGGTCCTGAATGAGCTCGGTGGCGTCGAGATCAGTGCCTCGCACAATCTGATCCGCCTTGACGAGGGTTGACATGGCTCTGGCGAGGTCAGAGACGGATGCCTTGACCTTCCATTTGAGCTCGTCAAGTCGAATGCCCAGACGCTCAATCTCTTGACTTCTCTTGAGGATCTCTTCGCTCATGATGGGGAGCGGCTTGATGCGCTTCCACATGATCTCCATGCTCAAGCCAGTGGTCAGGCGAAAGCCAGTGGTGAAGTCTTCTTCCACGGTCTGAAGATAGCGATCGGCGAGCTGCTTGTTGATGGATTGTGTTTCTGACGAAATCAGCTTCTGCACGGCCTCAACGCCATGGACTAAGTGAGCCTGGAAGCGTGCTTCCTCAAACAAGTCCCCGGTTGTCAGGTGGAGGGTTCGCCACCAGAAGTCCAGCATATTCCGGATGACTTGGGCGCGTTCCTTCCAGCCTTGGGCTGTCGCAAGGTTGGACTGGATGAAGGACTTGATGATCTGAAGGGTTCTTGAGAGGAACTTCGATACCCTGACCGTTGAGTCCTTTGCTACTGCTGCGATGCGGTCCGAGACGATGGATCGCTGGAGTCGGTTCAGAGAAGCGAGCTTCACCGCCTTGGCCTTGGTGGCTTGCGCAGAGATGGCAGATTGGCAACGCTGGACCTCCAAGAGGAATTCGTAGCAGACAGAAAGCCAGAAAGGCAACTCGTCGTTGTTGCGGCCCAAGATTCTCGCCATGGAAGCGTTGTGAAGAGGATTAAGAGGCTGGGCTTCTCTGAGACCCGAGTCGGAGCCGGGCAGTTTGGCATAGAGGTGGGAAATTGCACCACGGAGGCTGGCCGTATCGGCAGCATCAAGGAACGCAAGTTGCTCATTGAGGGAACCTTCGTACTTGTCGAGTCCGGGCCAGCTAGCATCAGCCAGGCCACGGCGCAGAGATTGAGAGAATCTCTCCATTAGCGCTGTGTCTCTGAGCGACAGGTTTCCAAAAGTGGCATGGCTGACGTCGGATGAGTCATTCGTACTCAAGGCCGTGAAGGAAATGGCCTTTGAGGAAGAGAATCGTTGCAGGCTGCTTTCCACGTGAACCTGAGACCCGGAGCTGTTGACGTTCTGCGTCTTCCTCTCACTGAGATGGATCTCAACAGCTCTGTTTCTCATGGCTCTCGAGAGTTCTCCATATCGGGGATCGACGGTGAGGAAGATACGGAATTCCGGGTGAGGTCTGATGATGCAAGGCTCGCCATTAGGTCCGCAATGTTCGTTGATGCTCAAGAAGCCGTTGGGCTCAAGCAGCGAGTTGAGTCTGTCCAGAGCGGAGGCGTTGCACAGGTTGGCATTGTCAAGAACCAGCCACTGTCCGGCCTCCAAAGCCTTGACAATGACGCCATCGAGCCACTCGAAACGGGGGTTGCTGACAATCAACGAATTCCGCAAAACCGAATGAGCCGTGTAAAGAAGAGCCCCAATGTCCGATTCACTAGATACTTCCGCAAGCAATTGTTCAACTGCACTCCTGATGGCGGGCAGGTCATCGGTGTCCCCACGGTAGGTCTCCAAAAGATACAGCAGAGCCAGCGCTGATGACGGAACTTGACTTGGCACTCTGGTCAGGACTGTGATCTGCAGGCCTTCGTAAAGCTCGCGCAAAGTAGCGTTGACTTCGCGAAGAGGATCTGACTGTTCAAAACCACCGACCAAGTCCATTGTATCGATATCAGCATTCAGAGGGAACACAACGAGGGGCTTGCCGACGAGAGCGGCGACATGCTCGAGGAGCACCGACTTTCCGCTACCAGAGGGTCCACTGAGGATGCATGGGATGTCTTGCTTGATGCAGATCATCAGGGACTCAATCTCAGGCAGGCGCGGAACGATGTCGATGCCTGGCAATTCCAACGGTTGAGAAGTCTGGTTTCTAGGCAGGAGTGCATTTCCCACTTGAGAGAAGGCCGCGTTGGTATCGTGATAAAGACTATGGCTTTCTGGCTCCCTCGCAAAGACCTCGGCAAAGAGCTTGTTCACCTCATCACGATCCGTAGAAGATCGGAAACGTTGGCGGATGATGAGGTCAAGGAAGTCATCTGGCTTGCCAGTAGCCAGAAGGGGATCCTTGGTGGCTACGAGGTGCAGCCATCTCAGAATGTCTCTCAAGTTGAACTCCCAGGGGCTGCCGTGTGCGCCAAATGCCTTTTCGATTGCGACTTGGTGATCCAGGCGAGAAATGAACTGGATGACTCCGCTTACAACATCAGTCGGGATAGTCGGGAAGTTATGTTGGGCAATAAGCAGAAGGTCTTCCGCTGTGAAGGTGTCGGCGTAAACGACGATAAATCTGTTCACAAAGGAGCTGGGAAGACCCTTTCTACCACCTCCCTGGTGATGAGGGTTCTGTGCAGCGAACAACCTGAAATCAGGATGCCTCCTGAAAACCTGGTCAAGTTCTGAGATGTATACCTCGCCACGATGATCAAGACAGGCATTGAGACCTTCCAGAACAGACTGAGAGGCCAAGTTCATCTCGTCCAGCAACACCCATTCGCCGTTCTGCATGGCCTGGAGGAAAGGAGCATCGCGCCAAGCAAAGTTGCCGGCTTCGGCGCCCTCGACAGGCATATCCGTACCAAAGAGATCCATCAAATCGGTCTGATCTGACAAGTTGATACGAGTCAGAGGACGGCCGCAAACACGAGCCAGTGCAGCCACAAGAGTCGTCTTGCCAACACCAGGGCTACCTTCAAGCAGAATCGGCTTCCGCATTTGCAGGGAACGCATAACTCGCATGGCGTTGAGTCTTGTGGTTGGGGCGTTGAACGCGAAGCTGGGGTCTGTGGAACGGCCTGCTTCCCGGGGCAAACCGAAATCGCCGATGGACAGTCTGTCATCGGTCAAGACGACCTCAGGCTGAGCGCGGTAGACCGCTGTGGTATCATACCCAAGAAGCTCGCTAAGCTTGTCAAGACATTTCTGCCTTTGTGAGTCGAGCGCCTTGGGGTCCATCGCCAGTAATGCCGAGGGGTTAGCACCCAAGCTGTCAATGAAGACGGTCGCTGCACCGTGGACAATCGCAAACTGGGGCGCGGCAGGGCCGCACAGATTGATGAAGTTGACCCAGATCAGGATGTCACGGATTGAAAAGGCGGTAGAGGATGACGATCTGAAAGTCTGGCCGAACCAATGGGCAAATTGCACTACAGGCTTTCCGAAACCCTGGAAGGACGGGTCCAGTTTCGAGACGACGATGTCAAGCATGTCGTCCATCTCAGACATGGCAGGGACCCAGATCTCGGTGAAACGGTTCCTCAGCGCTGGTGACAGTTCTTTCTTGCCGAAATCGCCGCCCGGGTTCATGGTGGCGAAGAACTGGAAACCGTCTGCCGCCGTGACGAACGAGTTGTCAATACCCTTCTCTGCCAGAAGTAGAGAGCGCCCAGGCTCGAGAACCGAGTTGAGACGCTCCAGGACCGAGTCGTCTGCGAGAGAAATCTCATCGAGAAGGAAATACTGGCCAGCCTTCATGGCGTGAACAAGACTTCCATCTGACCACTCGAACAAGGCTTTGCTCTTGGCTTCTAGGGATGCAATCTTCTCCTGCGTGGCAGCGTCAACCCCGGCCAGCTTATCCGCCGCAAGGCCGTGGTACTGTTGCAGCAGCACATCCAGCGGGCCTGTTGCGTCTCCGCCAAGCGCTCCGAGGAGAGCATTCAGATCGCTCTTGAGAGTCTCTGAGATGGTTCCGCGATTTCTCACGGGTCTCTGGGAGCCAATGAGATCTCCCGTCTCGGTGTTCTGGTGAGCGTTGACGATGTGCAATTCCTTTCCAAGTACGTCGCCGAGAATCTGGCAGACGGTGGTTTTGCCACATCCAGTCTCACCCACGAGAAGGACTGGCTCGTTGTTGAGGATGGCAGCATGCACCAAAACATAGAGACGACGCATGGCACGAGTCCACACAACACCATGGTTGTTGGACTTGCCCAGAACCTCGGTCAAGATTGGTGATGAGTTGGCAGTGTATAGAACGTCCGGGTCAATCTTAACCTTGAATACTGTCTCGATGACCTCTCTGACCGCAGTCCGTTCCTCCTCAACTCGGACTCGCTCGGCGAGAAGCATGAATCCATTGATGGCAATTTGCTCTCGCGTGTCTGCCTTTCGCAGGGCCCATCGGAACAAATCACGCAGCGTTGCGAAACTGTCCTTTTGCTCGAACAGTCGACTTGTCTGGCGGAGACGAGAGAGCTCCTTGTAGACTGTGACGATTCGCTTGCAGTCTGAGGGTGCAGTGTTGATGCTTCTGTTTTGGAGGATGTACTCCAACTCGTCCTCGGGGATGTCGTCAAAGTGCAGTTCCAAGAAACGGTTACGGAACGCACGCGAAAGCACCTTACGGCCACCGTACAGACCAGGGGGGTTTTGTGTGGAGAACAACATGAAATTCTCGTGCGGCCGCACGATTTCTTGTGTCTCGGGGATTAGGAGCTCTCGGTTGTCGTCGAGCAGACGGTTCAGTGCTTCCAGGACGTCGGTGGGAGCAAGGTTCAGCTCGTCCAGGACGATCCAGTGGCCCTGTCGCATGGCTTGCACGAGGAGACCTTCTTGGAAACGAAGTCTTCCTGACGAGTCCGATACATACGTTCCCAGGTATTCTTGCAGGTCCGTGTGCTCATGATTGTTGATTCGCACAAACTTGTTGCCTGTGAAGTTGGCAAGATACTCAATCATACTCGTCTTTCCTGCTGATGTCGGACCTTGGATGAGAATGGGGAATCGCCGCGTAGATGTCGCCCGAACGAGGTTGAGAAGGTTGCGTTCGACGTAGGGCGTGATGATGTAGTCAGTTCGCTCCAGTGTCGGTTCTTCTCCCTGGGCAAGCCAGTAGTGACGGTCCTTTGCCTTGTTACGGAACCGCACATACTGCTTACCATCGTCTGGTTGTCTTGGTGGTTGTGAAAGCAGAGATTGCGGATTGGAGACTCGGCCAAACAGGTGAAGGTCGATCAACGGCATGACCATCTTTTCCGAGCTCCTGTCTAGAAGGGTAAGGAACCCCATGGAGAAACCCTCGTAGAGAGCTCGACGAATGCCGTAAAAGGGGGCAATGTAGTTGACGAATGTCAAGACTCGGGTGAGAGTGCGAAGACTGAAATGCGGCACTTCATTGGCTCCATCCACGATTCTCTTCTCCTCGGCATGTCTCTTGGTGTTCATGTACAACGCAGCAATATCATCTGCGGCGTGTTCATCCTTGATGCTGCTATTCCTCAGGTACGTCTTGACGATGGTGACCAGGTCCTTCACATCCTTGTCAGGACTGTCAACGTAGAGCTCAGTGAAACGAGACCGAATGCCGATAGGAAGATCCCGCTTGCCCACATCTGTCGCCGGGTTCATGGCACCAAAGATGCGGAAGCTGGGGTGTGCTCTGATCCTCTCGATCTCTCCCGTTTCGGACAAGAGAATCGAGGGGGTCTCAACGGGTCCTGTCAGTAGGTCCGCGATGGCTTCCAAAGTGTCAGGCGATGCCAAATTAATCTCGTCGAGGAGCACCCAGTCACCATTCCGGGCAGCCTTAATAATGTTGCCCTCCACGAATGAGAATGCGAACGCGGTTGAGCCTCCAGATAATTGGACCTCGAATTGTTCCAGGCTGTTGGAGAACTTGTCCCAACGGGGGCTGAGTTCCATGAGGCTCTGAAGCTTGGACTCGGTCTTGCGGCGCTTCGTTGGCTGACCTGCCTCGTCACGAGCTTGGCTCTGCTCCCTCTCGCGCCGGGCAAGCTCGTCGATGATCTTCTTGAACATCTTGGGCGCTTCACGCCAATACTTGGCCGCTTTCGCCCACTGCCCTTTGGCGAATGACTTTCCTAGCTGTTCAAGGTAGCGCTGGTTCTTCGTTGTCGAGATGCCGGTCGCCGAGAACAGGTCCTCAAATTCCTCCTTCAGAGGAACAGCCAGACTCCTCACGTTGACAGGCTTGAAGCCTCCGAGAAGATCTCCGGCTTCACTTTGCTGGGACAGATTGATGGCGACCAGCTTGTGACCCAGCGTATCGGCCAGCTGCTGAACGACTGTCGTCTTTCCGATACCAGTCTCACCGACGAGGAGGATCGGCTCGCCAAGATTGACAGCTACTGCGGTCTGCTCCAACAACTTCTTTGCGTGTGTTGTACTGGCAAAGGGCTTCTTGGCTAGGGCGGCCTTGTTCACGCGGTCCTTCCGCTTGCGCAGTGTTGATCGGCCAATCTTGAATAGACTATCGTTTTGCTCGAGTTCTGGGATGTAGCTTCCCAGGTGATGCTCGACTAGCTCCTTCGGCATATGCATCTCCTCCGCGATGCCGAATATGAAGTGCTGTCTGGCCTGGACGTCGGGAATACCAGCAACGAAGCAGTCGATGGCCTCCTTGAACATGTTCATTCGAATAGTGTCAGTGACAGGTTCCTCGCCGGTTTTGCAGCCTGCCTCGTGTAGTGTAGCTGCAAGGCGTCTGCACCACCGCAACAGGTCTCGCAAGCTGGTTTGACGGTCGGCCATGCCGCGGCTGGACGACAGGGGAACGTTGCCGGACATTGGCTTTGACAGGCGCTTGTACACAGCAAGAATGCCAGGCGCAAACTTGTGTAAGATGGGGTGGGATCCAACAATGATGTCCTGCAGCTCGGCCTCTGTAGGGGTCTGTACCGAGAGAAGTTGCCAGAATCGCATACCCAGGAGGCTGGGAAGCGTCTCACGGCCATGCATGCCGCGTGAACTTCTCACCGTGCCAAAGAGACGGAATCCGCTGGCAGCCTTGATACGCTCACCCCTGCTCGGAATGAGGAGCTCGCCGCGCTCGATCAGGGGGAGAAGTGTGCTGATGACTTCGTTGGGTGCTCTATCTAGGTCTTCAATGAGAACCCAGCGACCTTCTCTGACTGCGGTTGTCAGCACACCGGCCCTCCATGAAAAGGTTCCCGGTTTTGAGTCGGTTGAATAAAGTCCAATAAGCATCTTTGCGTCTGTTTGCTCATTGATGTGCAAAGTCACCATGTCGGAATGCTTTCCAAACTCCTTTGCAACTTCATGAACCAGTGAGGTCTTTCCAGAGCCGGGGAGGCCATGAAGCAGAATCGGGCTTGCTTTCTTCAGGAGGCCAGCCAGACTCTCAAGGTTTTTGGTGGTAGTAGACGTCAACACGAGGGACGAGTTCTTGTCGACCGGTCCCGACGGTCTCGGCAATATTGTCTTGCCGTAGCATGCAACATAGGGAGTAAGGGATTGCGGTGGAAAAGAGTGGGTTTCATTGCTCTGTGAAGCATCACAGAGCTCCCGGCGCAGGGTCGATACCTGCTTGATCCGCGCATCTTCATACAAACTCAGGAACTCGTAGTCTACCTCGCGCCCATCATAGTCAGCGAGGACGGCTTCCGTCGCCCCGACGTGCTCGGCGATAAGAGCTTCCAGCTTCGAGTCGGCAGCGTGGAGGAGCTGGGTGAAAATCCGGATGGCCAAATACCGGACGGCGCGGCTCTCATGTGAGAAGAGAGTTTGCATGTGTGTTGGTGAGACCAGGATGCCGTAAGTCCTTTGATCGAAACAGACAAGTCGCCATGCTGCTAACAGCAGCTTCAAAAGGTCGGAATCTTGCGTGGGAGAAAAAGTGGTGAGTTTTGGGAATCGGAGGGTGAGCGTCTGGATTGTATCCGGCGTCGTTTTCGTCAAGTCGTCTCTCATGACATGCTGGAGGAATTCGGATAAATACGGAGCAAATGGTAATATCCTTGCAATAGACGCAAGGATTACTCTGTTCTTGCCATTGACGGCTTGGTTGTCGAGGTTGAGGAGCCAACGGGCGCAGATATCAGGAAAGACATTCTCAAAGTGAATGAAAATTCGATCTGTAAGTTGGGGAATGAGAGCGGCCTCTGCAACGGCGTCGAGGAGGCGTGATGAGGTGTGATTTCTGATGACCTCTAGTATTTCGGTAGGTAGATGCTCCAGAACGATCGCGTCGTTCAGGAGAGCGCTCCTCTGCGTCGACACGTCTATGGAAGCCATGGTGGTGGCTCAATTATGAGATATGTCGACGTCGGTGATGTTCATGGATGGCCAATTTGCATGTACCTCCAACTTTTTTTTTTTTGTCTGTACTCCAAAGAGAGAGAGGACCCTTTCCCGGCGCGCGCCAGCCAAAAGGCAGCTTTTTTTCCCTTTGATGGGGCCCGCCGCGGTGTATTCGACAGGGGTCCCTGCAGTGTAGGTACTCCACGGAGCGGAAGGCGGCGGTACAAAGCCCCCGAGCCAATCAAGGTGGAGACGACTCTGCACCATTCACGCGACTGGAACCACCTCATTCGCAGGAGCTCGAAAAACTTCAAGCCAGAAGATATCCCGAGCTAAGAAACCTCCCTGTTGCTTGAGGCCGAACTCGATTCTCGACGACAATCCGCTCCCCCGCTCCGCTCAAACAACGCCAATTGGCCTCGTCTCCTCCCATCCTCATACGAAAAACCACACACAATGGCCCTCTCTTGCAGATTCGCAGCCCAGAGCTGCGCCCGTCAGCTGCGTGCCACCGGCTCGATGCGTGCCTCGACATCCCTCTTCCAGACCCGAACTCCCGCAACCGCACGAAGGTACAACTCAACTGAGGCCGCTGCCCCCACGAACCCCAAGATTGCCGCCATTGTCGACCAGATTAGCACCCTTACTCTCCTCGAGACCGCAGACCTCGTTTCAAGCTTGAAGGTTAGTTGAAGAAGAAGTAGTGACGAGCGCAGTTTATCCCCAAATGGACTCGTCATAGGCATTCAGAGGGAAGGAGATCATGGGCCAAATTCTGACTCTCTCTCAATCGCAGTCCAAGCTCAACATCCCCGATCTCCCCGTCGGTGGCTTCGCCGCCGCCCCCGCAGCAGCTCCCGCCGCTGTCGAGGAGGCCGAGGAGGCCGCACCGGCGGCCGCCGAGAAGAGCGTCTTCAACATCAAGCTCCAAGCCTTCGAGGCCGGCTCCAAGCCCAAGGTCATCAAGGAGATCAAGAACCTGTTGGGTCTGAGCTTGGTGGACAGCAAGAAGTTCGTCGAGAGCGCGCCGAAGCTGATGAAGGAGAACGTGGCCAAGGACGAGGCCGAGAAGATCATCGCCGCCATGAAGGAGCTTGGCGCCACTGTCACCATGGAGTAAAATGGCCCTAATGGCTGGTTGAGGCCTGGCTGGCTTATGTAGACTGGAGCGCGGCCCCTCTCCTTGGGGAGGAGATGTAAAACTCGGGGGGGAGCATTGTGTTGTCGGACATCTGGGTTCGGATTGGTCTAGACGGACGTGTATGAGTGTATAAACACCCATGTAACAATATTATCACAAAGACATACACCACCTTTTTCGTATTGCCATACTGAACGGTCTTCTTTTGTAATTCTTGATTATGCCTCAAGCTACCCAAAAATTTACTTGGCCAACGTTGTGACCTTAATGCTGCTATCTGTGGTATTTGCCGTATCGCGAAACCTGACCCTCGAACGCCCTGTTTTTTGTCCCTTTTCCCCGAACGCCAAGATGTGCAAGAGACCCAGAAGTCCTCAGTTCTTCTTTCCATTCGTGATGCGCGTACTAGCAGGACCGACCGGCGGCTTAGGAGGACACGAGTGCTTCATAGCCTGAGAGCACTCTGCAAACTCCTCCTCACCCAGGATGTGGTCGTCGTCGCCGAAATCGCTCGTCTCATCCCAAATCTTGTCAATCTCTGCGTTTCCGTGCGGTGGGATAGCCCATATGCTCTCGCGCAGCCGCTTGTGGCGCTCGCGGTCCTCCTCGATGCGCTGCTCAATCTGGCGCTTCTCCAAGCGCGGGACTCCGCCCCGGCCGTTAGCCGGGATCGCGTGGCTCGGAGGCGCGTCGCCCATCTCGACGTCGCCGTTGACCGGGGACGAAAGGCCCGCGTCGTGGGCGCTCGTCTCGCGCTCCTTGAGGACCTCTTCAATCTCTGTTACCGTGCGTGCCTCGAGGAAGTCCTTGTCCTGGAGGCCTCGGAGGACCTGAGATTTTGCTCTCATGTCAGTTTTTATATAGAGCTTGTGCGGGGCGTGGAATCAGAGGAGGGACTCACTCTTCGGACGACCTTGACGTTGGCGGCGCCGGATCCGTCGTCAGGAGCTACAGCATCAACGATGCGAATAATGTCGCGCTGCATCATGCGGACATAGTCCATGTGCTTGTCCTTCTGAGCCATCTCAAGGAAATGCTCAATGAAGTACATGATATTAGCGCGCGTATTCATATTATTCTAAAAATGAGTTATAATCAGCCCATTGTCTCATGATTTCTCATGTTGGTCACACTCACCCGCTCCAGCTGCTCGAGGATACAGGAGTGCAGATCCTCGTCCATATCTTTATACTTGAGGGCATACTGAGCCGCCTTTTGAGCCGAAGTGACGGACGCATTCAGATGCTGCAGGGAGCTACTGAAGCGCATCCGAACCTCAAAAGGGTCCGCCATGTTGCGCTGCAGCGGACTTTCGGTCCCGGTTCTGATCTTGATCTAAATTTGAATTGGGCGGACTGAGTCTTGGGTTAGAGTTCGGGATGATGTTGAAAAAGCGGCTGGTGATGCTGGGGCTGAGTTGAGGCTTGCTCAATGGCACCCGAATCCGAGCTGTCACTCTTTCCAACTGAAATCGCTGGGGGATTTCCCACAGGGTAGCCCTGTGCTGTTGCCTCCATTTTGTGTGTTCTATCTGTTTGGGTGTGATCAGCACTGTGCGAATTGAAGGGACAGCAAGCTAAGCAGAGTTGGGCTTAGCGCTAGAGAAAAGCCAAGTTCAGTGGACGAAAACCTGTGGACGGACGATATCGGAACAGTGGAGAGCTTCTTTTTCTGCAAAAGGAGGTGGATAATAATATTGGCCAGGGGATTCTTTAACTCAGCCTTCATCTCCTATCTTTGTCTGATAAACTCTGTTTATGCAACCCAAAGATCCTTTCTCCGAAACTGAGGTTGTTCATATTGTTCTACTTTTTTATTGTTTTTTCTTGGACTATAAATTAGAAGCACCATCCTTGGCGCGATAGACATCCATCACTTACACCGCATTCTCATTTTCTCTCATATCGCTTCTACATCATGTCTGTCATGGGGGATCACAGCTCTTCGGAGCTCACCATGACCGTTCTCGGTTGTGGTAAGTAAAGAAACGTTTGTGCAAATAATGAGATCAACATTCTGACTCTCAACAGGAACCATGGGTATCGCCATCCTCAATGGCATCTTCACTTCCCTACTAGAAATGCAGGCTCCCAAGCCTCTTCAGACCCTCCACACCCCCTCGGCGTCGGGCACATCCACCCCCTTGGGCGACGAGGTCCCCCATCGCCTACCATCCCGCTTTATCGCCTGCGTCCGCCGCTCTGACAGCGCCAAGAAGGTGAAGAAGGCCTTGTGGGAGCACTCCTCCATCCTCAAGGTCGTCCAAAACGACAACGTCAACTCCGTCTCCCAGTCCGACGTCGTCATCCTCGCCTGCAAGCCCTACATGGTCAAGGACGTCCTCAGCGAACCCGGCATGACCCGTGCCCTGCACGGCAAGCTCCTCATCAGCATCTGCGCTGGTCTCACCGAGGAGCACCTCGAGGAGATCCTCCACGGCGCCGTCCCGACAAAGGACCCCGAGGAGGACGGCCGCTGCCGCATTATCCGCGCCCTCCCCAACACTGCCTCCCTCATCCGCGAGAGCATGACCGTCATCGGTGCGCCGACGTACCCCCTCCCGCGCGAGGCCGCCAACCTCGTCACCTGGATCTTCAAGCGCATCGGCGACGTCGTCTACCTGCCCGCCGAGAACATGGACGTCAGCACCGCCCTCTGCGGTTCAGGCCCGGCGTTTTTCTCTTTGGTTCTCGAGGCCGCCATCGACGGCGCCGTCGCCATGGGTCTCCCGCGCGCCGAGGCCACGAGGATGGCGGCGCAGACTATGAAGGGCGCCGCTGGCCTGGTCCAGAACGGCGATCACCCTGCCCTCCTTCGCGACAAGGTCACTACGCCTGGTGGATGCACTATCGGTGGTTTGCTGGTGCTCGAGGAGGGTCGTGTGAGGGGTACCGTCTCGCGTGCCGTGCGTGAGGCTACTGTTGTTGCCGGCCAGCAGGGCCAGGGCATCCAGGGGGTGAACGGCACCCGTTTCGTTTCGCAGTCGGGATACCCTCAGTTCTGAGACGGTTGGAAAAGTTTATAGATTTCTGCGCAAGAGTACATAATGTACAATTCTCATGAATAATGAATAAATACATGTTATCTAGCTTGGTTTATCTGGCCAACATTGTGTCTACTTACTTTTCCCGCACAACTATCAGATTGACTACTTCCATTCTAGAGGGTATAATGTAAACAGGGGAGTGAACATCAAAGTCATAATAAAAGTGAATCAGTCTCAAGCATTCATTGTCTTGATGGGAGTAAGATCTAAACATTGTTAATGGTAGTAAACATGGATCATTGTCTTCTATCTCGGCGTCTTGAATATCAAATCAGAAAGAGTATTACTATGTTTCAGACACAAAAAGATAGTCATGAATGAATAACAGACACTACAAACATACGTGACATTCAACTTAGTTAGGTACAGTAAAAGTGCAAAAGCTCGGCCTCCCTCACGGGAGACCTACGAAAACCCCTGCCGACTCTGTACGTCCTATTCCTCAGGTGTAACGCGGCAGGAATTTTTCACGAGACTCGAACTCGCGACCTGTGCAAGCGGGGCAATTCACATAGGACTTTCCCCGCTACGTCACAGGCCTTGGTGATAATATCGAACAAATTTGTTGATCATGGAGGTATGGAGGCGCCGCGGCGGGCGGTGAGTGGGTTCAGATGAGGCTGGTGATGTTGGGATCGATGGGATGGAAAGGTGTGATGTGGAGTGGCTGCAGTGTATATAGTTCAACATGACACTGATAAAGAAGCACGTCTTATTATATTCTACATTCAGGTTAGACACCCAGGTTGCCTCGTCTGATCTATCACCCCTATGGTAGTCACCTTCCTCTATCTAATGTTTATCGCTAATAAACACTTAAGCAATTTCCCTAGGCCTGTCCTGGCCAATATCTACAGCATCTTACAGTCGCCGTTCACTTTTAACAACCCCATGATGATCCCTTCCAGACTTAGTTTCCCTCCTCTTCTGAGGCACAAATTCATATCCCACAACGCTCAAAATCGAGAAATGTCCCTTCCAAAAACCCACGTGACGAACCAATACACAGGAACCAAAATCTTGTTCCGAATACTCATCGACTTGGTCAAGTAAGCACAACGCCACAGAATCCAAGCTGTACACACACACACACACTCCGTTAGCTCATCCAGATTCCACTACGTGCAGAGAGTGGAGTAAAATATACCTGCTCTTCCCTTCAATTCATCCGCAGAACTCTGATGAATAGCACGCCAGCTACCCAAATACGCCATGGCCCCGAGATTCCGGAACTTGAAGGGCTTGCCCTCCTCTAGCCCAGCCGCAGCCTGCTTGTTGAGCGCCTTGGCGAGATACTTTGCCTGCTGACTTGCAACCTGCGCCGTAGCAGGCAACGTCTGGCCCTCGAGGACAGAGCAGTCTCCCATGGAGTACACGTCCGGCAGCACGGCGCCCTCGTTCTTCGGATCGTCGAGGCGAACCCTCAGATGCGCGTCCGTGACGATGCCGCCGCTCCGCTCCGCCTTGAGAATCTTGACCATCTCAGCACCGCCAGCACTCTGGTCCTCAGTAGGAGAAACACCATTCGGGTTCCGCAACTCCTTCTTCATCAGCGTCTGCACGAGTGGGTTTTGCATCAGCCCCGTGCTCCACACCACGATGCCCGCGCCGACCTCCTCCTCGCCGTGCTCCTGGATCTTGAGCCGCAACGCGCCGCGCGGGTCCGTCTCGTCCGGGCGAATGCGCTGCAGGTGGTGGTTTGTTTTGACTTTGATGCCCTGGCGGCGGAAGAGGTCCTCGGCGTAGGAGGCCAGCTGCTGGTCAAACATGGGCAGGACCTTGGGGGCGATGTCGTAGATTGTGATGCCGACGAATTCCATGAGGTGAGGGTAGAGCTTGGAGAGGTCGTCGTGGATCAGGTCGTGGAGCTCGGCGGCGAACTGGGCGGAAGGTTAGTAGCGGAATATTTGGGGGAAATGGAGGTTGGGTGTAGCTCACCTCAATACCCGTCGGTCCTCCGCCGACGACGGCAAAGTGAAGCAATTTTTTCCTCTGCTCATCCGTCGTCGTCGGCCAATCCGCCTTTTCAAAACACTGCAGCACCCTCAACCGAATACTCCTCGCGTCCCCAATATCCCTCAAGAAATTAGCATACTCCTTCACGCCCTCGATCCCAAACGTCTGGGAATACGACCCCACCGCCACAACAAGCTTGTCATACGCTACATCAACCACCTCCCCCTTGGCCTGCGCATGCGCATCCCGCGCCGGCAACGTCTTGGACGTGGCATCCTCAGAGGTGACCTTTTCGATGCGGATGACCTTTCGCGAAAAATCCACGTCATCGGCCCAGGCCTGGTGGAAGGCGTCGAGCTCCAGGCGGCGGACGGGCTCGAGGACGGAGCGGAACTCGAGGGTGCCGACAGAGGTGGAGGCCAGCAGGGGGGTGAAGACGAAGTAGGATCGCGGGGAGATGAGGATGCGCTCGTATTTTTTGGGGTCGAGTTCGCGGGCGAAGGCGTAGCCTGCCCAGCCTGAGCCTAGGACGACGACTCTCTCACGTTTTGGTTCTGCGGTTGTGTGTTAGTGGGTTCTTTCGTTGCCAGGCCCGTGATAATTGCACGAAGGGTATGATTGTACAAAGAGTCGAGGGCAAAAGTCAATGAGATGGATGTGTACCTGTAGGCGAGCTCGAACTCGTGCTGTTGCGATGGTTGACGAGACTTGTGTTAGTCAGAGCCTCAACCTGCAACGCCGTTCCGGCCGGCCCCCGGCGTCCGGGCCGGGCCAGGCTTCTCCAATATTGCTGTGCAACTTTCGATGAGGCCATGATGAGGTTACAATCAGACCACCTAAAAACCAGCGGGCAAAAAGAAAACGGGGGTCTGGTAGTTGGCTATATAAAACACCCGCAAAGGCCCTTCCACTCACAACGGCGCTGCCCACCCCTTTCTCTGACCCTCTACCTAGTTCTCCGAACCCGGTTTCTACGGCCGTTCTACGGCGGTGGGTTAAATCCGATGGCCCAACGTAGGCGTTTGGGGCGCCCTGGGCGGCGTTGACTGTTGGGAAAGGTGGGCACGATAATGGCTCGGGATGGGGTCGAAGGGCGCTCGGTGTATCGGAGACTTGCCAAAGAGCGCGTGCTAATACGGGACAGGACGGGGATCGGGTGGCCCTGACATCAGAAAAAAAAAAGTCTTGGGACCAGTGAGTCAATGCGCTTATTTCGTGCCTTAGACAAGCGTATGGTTGATCCAGGGAATGGAAGTCAAGGGGAAGATGGTTCTTTTTGGACAGTAGAATTAAGGTTGATTCTTGTCTAACTCAATTACATCTTTCCTCACGTCACAATGCTGAGAGGCACCTTGGTAGCATCTAGGTACTAACACGGCGCCGACGGAACGAGTGACGTCCTCCATCTCCACTTTTGCCCGTCCGGCGGCCCCGGCGTGGCGTTCCCGCTTTTCTTTTCTTTGATTGTCCAAATGACGTCCCTAAAATTTCACTTGTTTGTTTTCGCATGCATCGAATAGGGTACATGGACGGGGTGGGATTGTCCACACAAATCTCCGTCCGTAGAAATATCCCACACGGCTCCGGATCGCTCTCCCTCTCCATTTTTGTTCCAAACTTTCTCTACTGCAACATAGAGTCCAAGCTTTCGCCAAGAACTCCCTCGATCTTGACGATCCATTGGTGCGTCTCCCGCTCGACGGTCTCGTCATCGTCGTCCTGGAGTTCGCTGATGTAGGGGAGCATCTCGGGCAGCGCGGACAGCCACTCCTCGCCGAGCTTCTCGGCAAGCTGCTGCTGGCACCTGACGGCCGCCAGACGGACGGGCGCGTGCTCGGAGCGGAGGTGGCGCAGGATGGTCGTGTTGAGCTCCTTCTGGTGCTCCTGCGAGTCCGCCGCGGAGGCCAGCTCGACCACGGCGGGGATGAGCTCGCCAGTCAAATCGAAGGACGAAGAGGCGTGGAGGAACTGCGCGGTCAAGACAGGAGCGACCTTGCCAAAGTGGGCAGGGGCCTGCCAGAAATCGTCCTGGTCGTGCTCGAAGCACCTCGCCAGCGTAGACAGCACGCGCCGCCAGAGCTCCTTTTGCTCGGGCAGCTTCAAGTCGGTGCCGTTAATGATCTCGACGGCATCGTCCACAATGTAGGTAGCGTAGTTGGTGACGATGGACTTGAGACCCTCGAAGAAGACCTGGAGGAACCCGTAGACACTGAAGCGACGCAGAGTACGTCCTGTGACGTCTTGCTTGGGCAGCTGCGTGGACCACTCGACAATCTGGGTGAAGATGGGCCTGAAGGCCGCGTCGTTGAGCTTGTAAATCATCTTGAGAGTGACGTCGTTGATGGATGCCTCGATCTTGGCCACATGCTGAGCTGTCGCGTTTGTGAGTCTGCCCTTAATATGTTCCCGTCTGCGAAGGTCCAAGGAGTTGAGCAGGATTGTGGACAAGGTAGTGACGTTCTTGGTGACAACCGACTTGGGCTGGCTATCGACCACAACGCCAAAGATGTCGACCCATTCCTCGGTGGCCTGCTTCCTTGTTAGTAGGGATTTGCAAGCCTCTCTGGGTAGGCAACTTACGTCGAAACCAGCCTCGGCAGCCGGGATCCAGTTCTTCTGCAGGCTGGCCAACATCGTCTTGGCCTCGACCTTTCTGGCAAGGAATCTGACACAGTTGATGCGCTCATCGTCGGCTTCGTCATCCAAGTTAGCCTCGGCTGACTTGTTGGAAGCAAGCAAGATGTTGTCCAGGTGCTTCTCCGAAATCATGTAAGGCAGGTGCTGCGCCAGAGCAGTGATGAATGCAAATGCTGCATTGTGCAATTCGTTGGCGGCTTCGTCATTCTCTACGCTCTGCTCGATGTAGAGAATTGCCTGAGAAATAGCAATGTTCACAATAGGCAGAATACCGTCTTGAAGCACATCAACAAGAGAGGCAAGGCAGAGCAATGCCATGACACGGAGGCTAACATCGGGCTGACCGAGGCAGTGGGGTCCAGCAATGGTTGCGGCGGCACCCGCGACGGCCTCGATATCCTTCTTGCCATACTTCTCCGCAATCTTGTCGATACACGAAACGGCAGTGTGCTTGTACTTGAGGTCGTCCGTGTCCCGGATTGCGGCGGTGAGCTGCGGCAGGAAAGCAAGAAGTGCCGTTCTGGAGGCAACGTCCGCGACGCCCTCCTGGTCCACGCGGACCTCGAGGGCACGGAGGACCTTGCGACGAAGGTCGATTTCGGTGCGGTCCAGGAGGTTCTCGACCGACTTGATGAACTCGCCAATGGAAAGGAGGTTGAGGAGGTTGGCCAAGGCGTTGCCGCAGCACTCGTGCAGAGCCTTCTGCTGCTTGACGGTCTCCGCAAGGGCCAGGACGTCTCTGAGAAGGATGGCATACAAGTCCCGAATCTTTGAAGAATCCATGTCGTCCCTCTCGGTGAGAATGGTAATCTCCTTTCGCAATTTTCTGCTGGAGAGGAGAGCGGGG